GTTCCCTTCCTTGCTGACCCACAATGAGAACATGGTGGCCAAAGTGGATGAAGTGAAGTCCACCATCAAATTCCAGATGAAGAAGGTGCTGTGTCTGGCAGTGGCTGTTGGCCATGTGAAGATGACAGATGACGAGCCTGTGTACAACATCCACTTAGCAGTCAATTTCCTGGTGTCCTTGCTCAAGAAGAATTGGCAGAACGTCCGGGCTTTATACATCAAGAGCACCATGGGCAAGCCCCAGCTCCTATATTAAGGCACAGTTCAATAAATCCTAGTGCTGCCCTTAAAAAATAAAATAAAATAAAATAAAATGGCTGACATTCAGGTTAAATGACTTGCTCAAAGGACACTACTAGAAAGTCGTGGAGTCCATGTATGAACCCATCCCTAACTCCAGAGACCATGCCCTTAACCAGCTTACGATGCTGGTAACCAGAGTGTTTGCATCCTATTGTGTATTGCTCATCCTCCTCTCTGCCTTCCCCGAATTCAGCAAAGCTGCAGTAAGAGACTGACACACAGCCGTCTCCATTCGGTTGCTCTGTAGCAGGAGGTGATAGAGAGGGGTCAGAGGTGAGGGAGCCCATTAGTAGAGAACTAAAGCGAGCCTTTTAAAGCAGCAAGGGAAGAATTCTGAGTGACATGGGTCCTCAACATATCTGGCAGGGAAGAGGTTGATTGCAGAAGCACTTTTCAACTAACTCAAGGGAGAAAATACGCAGAAAGGGAGATTGGTAGGTATAAGGTAACCACCTATTGTATTACAGATTTACTTGTGTAAAATGCGTGTCTAAAATCTGGGCGTTTTGTATCTTAGATATCAGATGTAACTTAAACTAGGGAAACCATACAATCAGGCCCTCCTTAAAGCCCAAAGCTTTCTGGCTTGGTAATTTTGTAGGGAACGACTTGCAGGAAAAACGCTTTGAAATGTGAAGAAGGAAATGTGATTCCGGTGGTTCCTTTATAGGCACTAAATCTGTACATGAAGAAGTAGGACAAGAATTGGAGAAGATTAATTTTCTGAAACCTCACAACCAATTTAGTTCTCAAATAGGGAAAAACAATGATTTTTTTTTTTTTTAACACAAAGGTGAAGATTGGAGGAGGGGGAGGGAAAGGTGAATTAAGTCTCCACAGTGGCTGCTAAGGAGATTGCCCTAAAAGCTTTCCAAATGGGAGTCTGAAATGTCCTCCTCCAAATGCACGTATGTATCTCTGCTGGCTCCCTTGTAGTTTCTCAATAGAGCAAAAGCGGAAGATTTTGAAAGAGCAAGGTAAGGTTCTGCTTGGTGTGCGCACACAGATAAACTGCAGCGTGCAGGCATACGTACGCTCAGGCTGTTTCAGTTCTGCCGGCAGCGGCTGTCATCGGGTATCTCACAGAGTTCAGGACCACTCTTCAGGTCCTTTCCTTTCAGGGAGCCACTGTGCTAGTTAATAGATGAATTTGTGCTTCTCACTGCCCCACGCCCCCCTTTTAACGATTTATTTATTAGAGTGTGCGCCCAAGTGTGGGGAGGGGCAGAGGGCGAGGGGGAGAGAATCTCTAGCAGACTCCCTGGCGAGCATGGAGCCCAATGTGGGGATGTGGGGGGATGTGGGCTGAAATCGGGATCTGAGCCGAAACCAAGAGTCCGACACTCAACTGACTGAGCCACTCAGGTGCACCTCCACCCCCTTACCTCTTTCTGGTAGAGACTTCCCGTTCAACCTGAAGTTTTGTCTGTAGATGTGTGTGATGGAACCGTGTGGGATCTCCTCGTGTTTGGCAGCCTCTTAGATCCTGTCATATTTACTAGTGTATTCTTGTGGCTATTTCCCCTAACATTGTATTAGGAAAAAAAACTTTTTTTTTTTTAAAGATTTTATTTATTTATTTATTTGTCAGAGAGAGAGAGAGCACAAGCAGGGGGAGTGGCAGGCAGAGGGAGAAGCAAGCTCCCCACTGAACAAGGAGCCTGATGTGGGGCTCGATCCCAGGACCCTGGGATCATGACCTGAGCGTGAAGGCAGACAGTTAACCAACTGAGCCACCCAGGCGTCCCTGTATTAGGAAAAATTTTAAACATTCAGAAAGTTGGAAGAATTTCACAGTAAAAAGCCTTATTCCCAGATGGTACTATTAACACTTTATTATTATATTTGTGTTACCACGTATGTACTCATCTCTTCATTGCTATATCCATCCATTAATCTCTTATGCTTCTTGCGTAAGTTGCAGATCCCAGGTTACTTCAGCTTGTATGTCATTAACTAAAGTTAAGTATTTATTTACAGGGCTTTTCCCCTTCTACCATAAAAAGTTAGGTATGCCACGAAATGCACAAACTAGGCGTTTTGGTGCATTTTGACAGTGTATATGTCTGTGTAACCCAAACCCCTATGAAGATATAGGACTAATCTTAGCGTTATTTTTTGGTATGTATGTGGGAAGAGGATTAGAAGATGAGTGAGTGGACTCATTCCTGTTTTATTTTTCCTCCTTTCAAGGTATCATTTCTGTGTGTTTTTAATTTTTTTAATTATTTTTAAAGATTTATTTATTTTGAGAGAGACAGAATGTGAGCAGGGGGAGGGGCAGAGGGAGAGGGACAGAAATCCTCAAGCAGGCACCCCACTGAACACTGAACAGGGAGCCACCTATGGGGCTGGAACCCCGGACCCTGAGATCATGACCTGAGCTGGAATCCAGAGGCAGACACTTAACTGACTGAGCCACCCAGGCGCCCCTTGAATATTGTGGGGTTTTTAAAAATTTTATTTTGTTATTATTTTTAAATAATATAAATAAATAAATAAAAACAAATTATTTTTAAAGATTTTATTTATTCATTTGACAGAGAGAAAGAGGGAGAGAGCACAGGCAGAGGAAGTGGGAGAAGCAGACTCGCCACGGAGCAGGGATCCTAACATGGGCCTCCATCCCAGGACCCCGGGATCATGACCTGAGCCGAAGGCAGACACTTAACCGACTGAGCCCTCCAGGCGTCCCTGAATATTGTTTTTAAAATGACTTCTCCCATGACTGTCACAGACTAAAATTTCTTCTGTCACGAGGCATATGACAGCGACTGCTTTAAAACACGTAAAGCCTTCTTTATAGAGTGCTTTGAAGGCTTGAGTCCAAAATCATGACTTTTTATTTTGGATTAGCCCTTTTCCCAGTTAAGGTACTTCATGGGGAGTACAGGCCTCTATCCATTCTTTAAGAACTCCCTATTTCTGGTTAACAGTGGAATGGATGTGACAGAGCGTAATTAAAGCCTGCTGCTTAAAGAGCGCATGTAGTAGAGGGGTGCCAGGATGATTGGGTCATGTTCTTCCAGGATTATGCTGTGGAAGTCATCGGTAGGGAGGTGGGGGTCTCTCCTGAAAGAGGTGGGCTTAGTTAATGTCACTCATCCTGCGTGGGTGGACAAGGATGAATGAGAGAAGTCTGGGAGTGAAGGAATGCTTTCCCAAGTAAGCTGGTGGTGGGTCCATAGATAACCAGGGGCCCCGAGGTGAAGTGGGGCAAGTTGTAATTTGTCAATCAAATTATCTGGTTGAATGTTACCTGTTTATTTCTGTTGTGTTATCCTCTGGTTTTTGGTAAAGTCTAATGTAAATATTTCAGCCACTTCTCAGCTCTTTTATTGTAAGGGAATAGTTGAGTCTGTGATTGGGCCAGAGTTATAGGGAAGCGACATTCCCCTGAGGGCAGAGAGAGGGTAGCAGCCTTGATTATTGAGAGATTCCCTAGACGGTTTTAAATCCAAGGAATAAGATTAAAATGTGTAAGAGGTTCACTCTGTCTACCTTTATTTGAAGATCTCGGTTTAATTTTATCAAGGCTGTCAGCCTGTTTCCTTACACTGTCAACCTGACAAATGTCCTTTTACTTAAGTAAAGGTATTCAAATCTAGTGATGAAGTCTCCCACCAGACTTCTAAAGAACCAGGACATTTGAGGAACAGTAAGTTCTGACCTTTAATAGCAACCACTGGCTTAATTCTTCATATTTTCCGCAAACCACACCCGCCTGCTGAAGTAGATAGCTCAGGGAAGTTGGATGGACTCACTGTGCCTTGGGAGTTTTTAATCCCAGAGCTTCTCCTAGTGTTTTCTTTTGCTCTGCAATGTCCCTCATATTCTGTCCTTTCCCATTCACTTCACCCTAAAAATTATACACAATTGTAGTGTGAGGTCCATTACTCTATTGAAGATGCAGTTGGAACCAGTGACTGAGATGGTTTTTATGCCCCCTGCATTTCCCAAACTTCCACCAACACACTCTTTTTACAACCCACTTGAGGCTGTTGATCATTAGGCCAGGCAGGGTATTAGAGCTGAGTCCTGGAGGGAGTAGATAAGATCGTACAGTGAGCGGCGCCAGACCCTGGAGGCTGCGAGCTTGGCACACTTTTCACCGCACACTACAGTATGCTAATCTTTTGGAATAAAAGAGTAAGGCATTAAAATTAGGTAGAGATAAGAGTGAAGATTTCTCATTTTTCCCCCCCAAGATAGGAAAGCTGATAAGAGAGAATTTGGTTTGTTACTGAAAGCCGTATATGTTTCAGAAGAAAACTATTTCAGAAATAGTCTGGACTTTACTCTTTTAAAATGAAACACTTCAAAATAAACTTTAAAAAAAATTCACCCTTTATCTTTCTTTCTTAATAATTTAGGGTCTAGTCCAAGGGCTGATAAACCTTTTCTGTAAAGGACCAGATGGTAAATATCTGAGGCTTTGCTGTCCATGCAGTTTTTGTTGCAACTAGTCAGCTCTGCTGTTCCAGGACCAAAGCAGCCATAGACAGGGTGGAAACAAATGGGCAGGGCCGTGTTCCAATAAATCTTTATTTATAAAAACAGGCAGATGGGCCAGATTTGGCTCATGAGGCAGTTTGCTAACCTGTGGTCTAGTCCATCTTTTTGTTTCTGCTAACTTTGTTTACTGTACATTTTTAGGTTGAAATTCAAGCATCAATCAATGTTCATTCAAATTGGAATGTTCCAACACATTTTCCCCTCTTTGCCACTGGTAGCCTTATTCTTTTTAAACTAATCTTACTTAAAAGCCTGAAACTTCTGGGCTCAGCATGTCAGGAAATCAAGGAACATTTTGAGTGGGGATGTTCAACTGAATGCTTCTTTTAAATTTATTACTGAACTTTTATTTTTTTAAAGATTTTATTTATTTATTTGATAGAGACATAGCGAGAAAGGGAACACAAGCAGAGGGGGTGGGAGAGAGAGAAGCAGGCTTCCCGCCGAGCAGGGAGCCCGATGCGGGGC